TCACGGTTGGAAAACATGTAGACGCCCCATGGTTTGTCATCGTTGTGGTGGCAACCATGAGAGAATGGATTGTACTCAGGATCTAAAGTGTTCAAACTGTGAAGGCCAACACATCCTGCCCTGTATATCAAATTGAAACCTAGATATTAAAACTGAAAGGTGAAAAAAACATCTCTTTTGCAGAGGCTAGGGACCTCGTTGCCAGTCAAGCAACATCTCCTTTAACTCTGAATTATTCTGCTGCTGTGACCAAATCTGCTAAAAAAAATTCATCTGTACTGTGTCAGACCGATTGGACATGGATCAATTCTAATCGACCCGTTGCAAGTGCTTCTGTCTTAAACATTGCTATTTCTGAAGGTAAATCCATATCACCACCATATCGTGTTCAGGCTGAAACTCAAACTTCATCTGAAGCATCTCCTGAAGAACCATCTGCTCTTGAACGAAAATCATAAAAATAAACAAAGAAAAGGGTTAAATAGAAATCAATCACCCAGTACCCCATATTCTTCGGAAGTAACTACTCACAACTCCTTTAGTGCTTTAGACATGGAGGTGGTGACTCCATCGTCAGACAGTAGCGGTAGGAGTTCATCTTCATCACGTTCACGTGAGAGATCACCAATTGAGCCACCATGACTCATTTGTCAAATTTAATTCAATGGAACTGTAGAGGACTTAGGAATAATTATAATGATTTACAACTCTTAATTCAGGATTTCAAACCATCGCGGATATGTTTACAAGAATCATATTTTAAAGACACTGATAAATACGATATAAGATGTTATACCTCCTACAATGTCTTTTCACCTCCAGGTGCTAAAGCCACTGGCGGTTCTTCGATATTCATGAAACACAGCGTTATCCACAGCCCCGTTCATCTTGCTACCCCTCTTCAAGCTGTTGCTGTCCGTGTAACCTTACACATAGTTCTACTTTGTATTCGTTGTATATTCCACCATCTTATTCACTTCGACAGTCTGAACTTCAAGCTCTTTATGATCAACTCCCCAAGCCCTGTATTATAATGGGCGATTTAAATGGGCACAATCCACTCTTGGGTAGTGTTCAGACATATAACAAGGGTAAACTTTTGGAAGATTTCATTTCAAACAACGACTTATGTATCTATAATGATGGTTTCAGCACATATCTACATCCCGGTACAGGTACCTACTCTGCTCTTGATTTATAACTTACAGATTCTGATTTATTAAACGAATTTGAATGGTCCGTCCACGAAGACTTCTGTGGCAGTGATCATTTCCCAACTACATGTATTTTAAAACCCGACTTACCTTGAGATGTTCCTCCTTCAACAAGATGGAACTTCACTAAGGCCAACTGGCCTTTGTTTGAAAAACTTGCATCAAATAAATTAAAACCTGATTAGTTTCTTGACGCTACTGACCCTGTACACATATTTTCAGATGAATTAACTGGGCAAGCTCATGATACTGCTACAGGGTCTGATAACATACATTATCAACTCTTAAAACATTTGCTGCAATCCTGTTTAGAAACCCTCTTGATGATATTTGATAAAATCTGGACATCAGGAGAATTTCCTTCTTCATGGCGTGATGCTATAATTGTTCCCATACCTAACCCTGGACGTGATCATACTGATCCTTCCAATTATCGAACAATTTCATTGACTAGCTGCGTTTGTAAAACCATGGACCGCATGGTCAATAACAGATTAACCTGGTACTTGGAATCCAATAACTAAATCACAAATATCCAATGTGGATTTCGTAAAAATCGCAGTACCATTGACCACTTAGTTCGACTGGAGTCATTCGTTAAGAATGACATTGTAAACAAACAACATGCAGTGTCTATCTTTTTCGATCTAGAAAAACCTTACGACACTACATGGAAACATGGTATTTTAAAGGATTTACACGATTTTAGATTGAGAGGCCGTTTGCCTCAATTTATATCCAAATTTTTAACTGACAGACAATTTCAAGTCTGCATGGGCTCAACCCTGTCTGATCATTATAATCAGGATCAGGGTGTCCCACAAGGCAGTATCTTGTCTGTTACACTATTTAGCATTAAGATAAATAGCCTGTCTAAGGTTTTAAATGATTCCATAGAAGGGTCGCTTTTCGTGGATGATTTTAACATATCTTGTCGTGGTAAAAATATGCATTCAATTGAAAGACAATTGCTGTTGTGTCTTATTAAAATTCAAAGATGGTCACCAGTGCTATATTTGGGTGGCACACCTATCAAAATTGTAAAGGAAGCCAAATTCCTGGGACTTAATTTTGATAGCCATTTGACATTTAAACCCCACATCAAATACCTGAAAGCTAAATGCCTGAAGGCACTCGACTTGTTAAAAGTTGTTTCCAATTCAAAGTTGGGAGGTGATCAGAAGACCCTCCTCCAACTATATAGATCTCTCATACGTTCAAAACTGGATTAAGGCTCCATCGTTTATGGGGGAGCATGCAAAAGTTATCTAAAAATTCTGGATTCTATACATCACCAAGGACTACGGCTCTGCCTTGGATACTTCAGAACGTCTCCCATTAACAGTTTATACGTAGAGGCTGACGAACCATCACTTAAACTCCAACGTCTAAAAGTATCTTTACAGTATATTACCAAATTATCTTCAAATCAGTCAAACCCTGCATATGATTGCGTTTTTCATCCCCTATATGAGGAACTCTCCTAAAAGAAATCTTCTCTTATTCCCCCTCTTGGAATAAGGTTGAAAACTGCAATTTCTGATGCGAATTTACACCTTGAAAATATTTCTCCTTACCGCCTGCTGTCTTCACCTCCTTGGCAAATGATAAAGCCAGAGGTAGACCTCACATTAACAAAACTGAAGAAATCCCAAACAAATCCACTAATTTATCAACAAGAATACCATCAACTGAGAAATAAATATGATACATAAAAATCTATATTTACAGATGGATCCAAGGTTGGTGACGCAGTTGCTAGCGCTGCTATCATTGGATCCAGGACAATATTTATATCGTTCAGGTTGCCACACGAATGTTCAATTTTCACGGCAGAATCACACGCCATCGTAACAGCTCTTAAATGTGTAAATAATAAGTCTAAGCATAAGCAGTTCATAATATTTTCAGACTCTCTTACGTGTCTTCAGGCTATTCAAAATATGTCCAGTACACATCCACTATTACTCGAAATTGTCGTATTATATAATGACCTAACTACTAGCCAGTATGACATCGCTTTATGCTGGTTACCCAGCCATGTTGGAATCGTTGGTAACACAATGGCTGATGCTGCTGCAAAAGCAGCACTCAACAAATCTGTGACACCACTTCTAATCCCCAACAGTGATAATAAACCCGTGATTAGATCTTACATCAGATATCTGATGCAAAAGAAGTGGGACACCCAAGTAGGTATCAATAAATTACAAACTATCGGTTACACCTACTTGGGTTGTCAGTCCAGAATTAACGAAGTCATAATTCGGCGATGTTGTATTGGCCATTCAAGCTACACTCATAAATGTTTATTGACAGGTGAGTATCCTCCATTCGGCATCCCTTGTGATGAAAAAATCACGGTCAAGCATGTCCTGCTGGATTGTATTGATTTTTCCATCACAAGAGATGAATATTTCAAAGTATCATCCATTAAGGATCTTCTTACTGGTATCAACTCTCGTTTAATTATAGATTTTTTAAAGCATATTGAATTGCTTGCAAAATTTTGGTGAATAATATTGTATAAAAACTATGTTTTACATTTGGTAGACTAAATTAACAACTGCGATTGTTAATGCCTGTATCCTCGAAGGGGGTTAAAGTACAGTAAAAGTATTGTCCCCCGGAGAGGATGCATAAGTTCCATTTCTTTCAAAGTAAATTTATAGCTATCACAATTTTAATCGTAGTATATTTGTTAGTTTTAACTGATGGTTAATACTGACTACAATCGCCAGCGACTGAAGGGATGGTGTAAATCCTGCTGGGGAGCCATGCAGGTAGCAAGTCCCCTCGGTCCCTAGTGTGGTGGCCTAACTTTGGTTGCCCGCGATCTATAACCCGTTTTTATATTGTGTTGTTGAATTGTAGCTTATTCTTTTATATCCTTTCAAACTATTTTTAACTAAAATCTGTGATATTCTAGTTATTGTACTGTCCTTTGGTGACAGGTATTTTACAAATTGGCGATGTGACCTTAAATTTTCACTCACTCACTCACTTTACGATCAAACACCCCGTTGCAGTCCTTAGGGTTAGCTTGCTTTGGGCAAGGGTTAGCTTGCTTTGGGCAAGGGTTAGCCATATATTCTTACCTTTTCAAACGTTAATCCGGTTAATCCGATTGGTCGATCATGTCGTCGTATAGCTGGAATATTGCTGAGTGCGGCGTTAAACAACAAACAAACAAACAAACACAAATCATACAGACCCGGAATATATGTCCGAAGATTCACTGTAAAAAAGGCATTGATTCAGCCACTTTGACATCTAACAGACGTCGCAAACGAATCGAGTTATGTCCCTTTACCCGATGCATTCAAATAAACATCGGTTCAATTCAGCTCAACGATACTTGTGCGAAATAAGCAAGTTACCTTAGGTGTGTTCCAAAAGATTTCTCAGCGGGGTACATGTGCGGAAAATAATAGCCCGCTCCTTGACCAATCAGAAGCTAGTATTTTAATGTAAGGTGAAATAAAGAAAGATCTTAACGCCCCCACAGCCGTAAGTCTTTGTTAAAGTATGGGATATGCTGGCCCTGGGTCCCGCTACACAAAGTGATCTTAACGCTAACACTGACAGAAGTCTACATAAACGTATTTTGGAATTACGATCATGTAAAATAACTTTCGGATTGCTATTACTCAGCTAGAATACCAACTGAGTGCAAAACAAAAGACACTATTCACACACGTGCTGACGTATTAATGCACACGACGACACAAGAATCTATGCACGTGTACACAAAACCCAGCATTATTGTCACCAACGCATACTTCGCGCCGCGCGATTTATACATACAGTACGGTAACGCTTGCATTTGTCGCTGAATAGTCAGACACTTGAGTTGCCGGAACGTTGACGGGCGGACCTATTTCCCACCTTCGAGTAAGTACTCGCATTTTGTCTTGTCCGTAAATAGAAAATTAAGGCTGTTAATAAAGAAAATCGGTAAATACGTTTCCTAATAACGTGTTTTAACGCTAGAAATTTGTTTGGGTCCCGTTTTGAGGAGAAACCCTTCGCCAAACGAATCGAATGTTTTTTCGCTGTTCTCTCTGTGGTAACTACATATCCTAGTCACGGCATGTAATGTTTGGAACATAATTAGAAGTTAATTATTTTGGTTCACCACAACTAGACTAGAATTGGTCAGCAAAGAAGGCTAAATGTTTGATTTATGTCGGTAACATGTTTGTGATTGTGTAAAGGCGCTTTTGCTCTGTAGTATGTCATCTCTTTATGACTGGAAACTAAAACAGCAATTCCTAAATTCTGAAGTCACAACCTAAAAGACTCTTACTGCAATGAACGGAGTTACAGTGTAGGGAGTAACGTAATTAGGGGGTAACGTGGAAAGACAGTCTAAACCGTCTTTTGACTTCGAGCTGATGGGAGTACCATAGTTACATGCGTCAGCGCCTGTACGGATACTACATCCTGCTGGAAGGGGAGGGGCTGCACTTATAATACCAGTTGAAACACCGCTAAACATTTTGCGTTTGTTAGCGAAGCGATAACCACTTAATTGGTAGTTATATTGACATATTTACCCCTACCCCCTCACCCCCACTCTCCAAACACCCCCCCCCCCCCCCCCCCCCTACGCTCCAGTGGTCCTTGGAAACTGGTTCACTATGAAACCTTTCGACTGTCCTCCGTTTGTCACTGAAGTCTTGTCATTCGATCGCGTTTTAACGGGCTGTATCAGTGCGTAGCCCCTCTTCACAGATCCCAGTGCATATAATATCACAAATATATTCTCATCTCATATTTATTTTGTGCCCTTTTCGAATCTAGGAATAAAAAGACCTGAGGGTAGCTGCGAACTCTGTGCGTTCCCTTGTGATATGAGTTGATGAGTTTAAGCCTTATACGTGGCTCTACTTCAGGGAATCGATGTTAGATTGTTATGCCGGGTGTCATATGTCGATGACCTCATTCGGAACGAACCGTAGTCACTGTGGCTTGGTAAAGTGTATTTATTGATCAATACATCGGTGGAATAATAATATTGTCACTGTGAGTGCAGGTGTGGTGACTTCGAGGTAGAAGCACCATAGTTAGATGCAGATGTGTTGACTTCGAGATAGAAGCACCATAGTTAGATGCAGGTGTGTTGACTTCGAGATAGAAGCACCATAGTTAGATGCAGGTGTGGTTACATCGAGATATTAGCACCATAGTTAGATGCAGGTGTGGTGACTTCGAGATATTAGCACCATAGTTAGATGCAGGTGTGGTGACTTCGAGATATTAGCACCATAGTTAGATGCAGGTGTGGTGACTTTGAGATAGAGGTACCATAGTTAGATGCAGGGGTGGTTACTTCGAGATATTAGCACCATAGTTAGGTGCAGGTGTGTTGACTTCGAGATAGAAGCACCATAGTTAGATGCAGGTGTGGTGACTTCGAGATATTAGCACCATAGTTAGATGCAGGTGTGGTGACTTCGAGATATTAGCACCATAGTTAGATGCAGGTATGGTTACTTCGAGATATTAGCACCATAGTTAGATGCAGGTGTGGTGACTTCGAGATATTAGCACCATAGTTAGATGCAGGTGTGGTGACTTCGAGATAGAGGTACCATAGTTAGATGCAGGGGTGGTTACTTCGAGATATTAGCACCATAGTTAGGTGCAGGTGTGTTGACTTCGAGATAGAAGCACCATAGTTAGATGCAGGTGTGGTGACTTCGAGATATTAGCACCATAGTTAGATGCAGGTGTGGTGACTTCGAGATATTAGCACCATAGTTAGATGCAGGTATGGTTACTTCGAGATATTAGCACCATAGTTAGATGCAGGTGTGGTGACTTCGAGATATTAGCACCATAGTTAGATGCAGGTGTGGTGACTTCGAGGTATTGGCACCATAGTTAGATGTAGGTGTGGTTACTTCGAGATATAAGCACCATAGTTAGATGCAGGTGTGGTGACTTCGAGATAGGCGTAACGGTTAGATACAGGTTTCTGACATCGTGATAGACGTACCATAGTTAGATACAGGTGTTCTGTCTTCGAGATAGAAGCATCATGGTTAGATGCAGGTGTGGTGACTTCGAGTTAGAAATAACATGGTAAGATAACGCTGTGATGCCTTCGAGATAGAAATAACATGATAAGATGAAGTTGTGATGACTTCAAAATACAAGTAACATGGCCAGATGCAGGTGGGATGACTTGGTAAGCGTTTGTGTGTATTCCAATGGCTTTGAGATGCTGCATAAAGCATGACGTCTTGCTTGACTGGCGAATTACAAGTGCCTGTGTTCTTGATAAAGGAACCACCATCTTTACTCGCATTTCATGAATGTAAAAGAAGATGAAATTCTTTAGTCGATTGTCCTCACCGATGAGATATATATATTTTCGGTAGCTTTCATGTATAGATGGCTCTGTCTTGCTGGGAAGCAGAGAGGCCTCCGTAACACCAAGGAATGGCTTCTCGCCTATTCCTAGTGCCCATGATCAATATGCCACAAGCAGAAAATATGTGGTAGACCCCCACCCCTAGCCTAACATCTAGTCTATGAAATGAACATATATTAAATTATAGGTATAAAATATAATAAAAAGAAACCCAGAGACATTCTTCATTTTCAGATATTGCAGTAATCTAGACTTGCCAAACATTATAGACTTGCATGGGCTGTATTGGATATATTTGTTTCAGGGTCTGTACGACAGACTATCCCACCCTACCTTAATATCGATTGAAGCGTAAAATTACTTTAAACAGTGTCCTGTCGTGATATCATCCTGCTGGAATGAATCTCCAGCGGTGCGGCGAGTCCTTGTCAGATATGACTATGATAACGAACATTCCAGTGTCATTTTAACCATGAACAACAGTGGAAACAGGTGGGACATCGGATATATCGGTCGCGTTTTGTCCTTGACCTCAAAACGCCATTACCGGCGGTGTTAATGCTGCTGTGAAGAGCGTTTTTATTAAAAAATGTGTCATTGACTAAAGACTTGGAAATACGCCCCGGGAGCATACTTGGTCCTTTCTGTAACAAAACTAGTGGCTGATCCATAGATCAATTCGTGCTTTTATTTGTTTGTTTGTTGTTTAACGCCGCACACAGCAATTTTCCAGCTATTGACAATCCAGTGGTTGACAATTCATGCAAACAGTATTATTGACAACAGACTTGGAGACAAATGTATGAGTTAGTTACATCTTTTAGTCGACAGAATATATGTATGTACAACTTTATAACGAATTCGGGGAACTACCATCTACATATTCTGTATACAGAATGCATCAGTTTCATATGTTTCAAAAAATCTCACTGAGATATCCTACATCTTCAAACAATACCTACTTTCTCGGTTATAATTACTATTGCTATTTTCCAAATATCAAATAGTATAGTCATGCTAAATGGCAGGCTTTATATATCGTGCATATCTCCATGGTAAGACCCTAAGTTGTTGAACCTATGCATAGCTGGATAACACGATTGTTTTTCTTTCCTATCCAGTGTGTCATGCCCTCGTTACGCAGAAAACCGGGGTTCGTTTCCACAAATGGGTACAACTTTTGAATCCCATTTCTGGTGTCCCCCGCCATGATAAGGCTGAAAGGAGTAAAACCCAACTCACTCACTCTTACCTATTCGCGATCTGTTGACGGAAGCATTGCGACAGATATGGTATACATTGAATATACATGTATATGCCAGCCTTTCGTTACCCTCGGTAATTAGCTTCATACCGTGTATATCCTAATATATGCATGAACATAACTCATCTGTTCAAAATAAAACCTTCCCAGCGGCGACCAAAGCTCTGTTTCCCACAACCGCTGCATTTCCTTTAAATAAATACCGCGGGGCGGCGCTCCAATGAAACGCCATTACACAGTAATAACCTTCAATTTCCGTGACATCACATTTAGAAAGTCTCTCCATTGTACATCCGCCGACAAGAAAGAGGCCGGGTTGACATTAACCGCTTGGCTAACATGCTGTTTTCTTCACTGAATACTTGTTTCATAAGTTTCATTTTCAAAACCGAATTACAGTAAAGTACGGTTATAACGAACTCAAAGGGACTACTAATTTAAGTTCGTTATAACCGTAGTTCGTTATAAGCATATATACACTATAACTACAGCAAATAGTCGGGACCAAAAAAGTAAGTTCGTTATATCCGTCAGTTCGTTATAAGCGTGTTCGTTATAACCGTAGTTTACAGTATATATGTGTTGTCTTCTTGAGGAAAGTTGAAAGAGTCACGTGACAACGTAAGGAACTATTTTTGTGAATTAGATATTAGGTGGGTCTTTGCATCTCGTCATCAGTCATTTAAGAACGTACGATGTGTGTTTTGCACAATGGGTTTTTCCAGTTCTGTAACAGTGGGATTCTGATGGGACCTTGATAAACAGTAAAAATGTACAGAGTGCGAGAAAGCGAATACGATCTCACGGCAATGTGATCTAACAGATTTCCATATACAACGAAACATTTTCGTTCACACTTGTGGAATCGAACCAGTGTCACCGGAATGGTCAATGAACGCTTGAACCACGATAGGCTTCCCCATCGCCCGGTTTGCACACTGAGAAGGAGCCGTACCTTGTTCCTTGATGGCAGTGGGGTAGCCTAGCGGTTAAAGCGTTCGCTCGTCACGCCTAAGACCCGGGTTCGATTCCCCTCATGGATACAATGTGTGAAGCCCATTTCTGGTGTTCCCCGCCGTGATAATTTTTGGAATATTGCTTAAAGTGGCGTAAAACGATACTCACTGTGTCCTTGATCCTAGCGGTGTGTATAACTGTTGACATGGGTCGCAGTACAATTATCGAGTTTGAGGGCATTGGGTGAATGGGAAAATACCTTTTCGTTCGGAATAGGCAGAAGCTTGAACT